CGCCGCGGCAGCACTGACGCAAGCAAACACTGGTGACGCGGAGTTACCCCACGTAGACAAGTCTAGGCATAATCTCTCGAGCGCACGCATGCCTCGATCGTGCTTCCCGCCTTTTCACATCGCCATTATAGCCAAAGTGTACAGATTTAATAAACAAATGTTACATTTCATTGTAATACCTGTGTCCTTCATTAATCCCCCAGAACACGTCGCTAAACACCGTTTGCGACCTCAAAAATATCCTTTTCTTTCAATTTGACTTATCAATAAATCTGATACACATTACAATAACAATGAGTACTTGCGATGCTTAAATATTTATATTTCATCACAATCTCTTTGAAACGTTACCTTTAAGCCATTAAACTCCTATTTTCATTTAATTATTCGAGTTACCCAACAACGATAATTCCTAGTTCAATTACTCACAGTTAATTTTCAACGGTTGACTTGCTTACATTTGGCAATTGGAAAGCTGTCGGCTGACCAAGGAAATATAGAACTGTATAGATGCGCGCTATAGGGTAACATGAAGTACGAGGTGTGTTCAAAAAGTAAGGTGACTTTTCAAATTTCACGGGCAACGTATTTTCGATTATCGATTTTTTTGTTTTGTTATGTTGGTACACTCTTCCCGAACATCTGTACCAAGTTTCAAGTGTATAGCATTTTTTGTTTGGTTGTGAGAGGCGTAAAGGTTATAAGTGTTTTGCGTGCTCGGCGATTTCTTGCTATCGAAAAATATGGATCAAAGGATTTGCATCAAATTTTGTGTAAAAAATAAAATAAAGTGCTCTGAAACACTTGAAATGTTGACGGTGGCATACGGTGAAACTGTTCTAAGTAAAAAAATGTTTACAAGTGGTACAAACTCTTCCAAGATGGACGGGAAGATGCCAATGACGAGCCTCGCTCTGGACGCCCAAGCACGTCAACAACTGATGAAAACGTTCAAGCAGTGAAGAAAATTGTTCTGGAAAATCGTCAAATCACTATCAGAGAAATTGCTGAGGATGTTGGTATATCGCTTGGCTCGTGCCATGAAAATTTTTCTAACGTTTTGGGCATGAGACTTGTGTCAACGAATTTTGTTCCGAAATTGCTAAATTTTGACCAAAAGAACCGTCGCATGAGCATCGCTCAAGAACTGTTGAATGACGTCAACGACGACCCAGATTTACTCAAAAGGGTCATAACTTGTGACAAATCATGGGTATATGGTTATGATATCGAAACCGAAGTTCAATCGTCCCAATGGAAGAGCCCAGATGAGCCAAGATCGAAAAAAGCACGCCAAGTTCGATCAAATGTCAAAGTTTTGCTCACTGTTTTCTTCGATTACCATGGCGTGGTGCATCAGGAGTTCTTACCATATGGACGTACGGTCAATAAACAGTATTATCTTGAAGTTATCCGCCGTTTGCGAGAAGCAGTACGAAGAAAACGCCCAGAATTGTGGAAAAACAATTTATGGCTTTTGCATCACGATAATGCCCCTGCTCACTCATCTTTGCTTGTGAGAGATTTTTTGGCCAAAAACAACACCACAATCATGCCTCAGCCACCATATTCACCGGATTTGGCCCCATTTTTTCTTGTTCCCAAAACTAAAGAGACCTATGAAAGGACGGAGATTTGCAACGATTGAAGAGATAAAGACTGTATCGCTGGAAGAGCTCAAGGCTATACCGAAAAGTGCTTATGAGAAGTGCTTTGAGGATTGTGAAAAACCGTTGGCATAAGTGTATTGTATCTGAGGGGGATTACTTTGAAGGGGACAACATAAATATTGATAAATAAATAAATATTTTTTCTTAAAAATACAAAGACACCTTACTTTTTAAACACACCTCGTATATCTCTAAATCACGCTCACTCTAGCTTCGTGAATATGCGGCTAGGCGATGCGTTGATATAGTATAATCTAGTATTTTCACCTGTCAATATATTTATATATATGTATATGTTTGCCACATTCTTACTCATATATATATATATATACAGGGTGTCCCAGACCACCCCCGTCCACCCCTTCTAGTTTTTTAAAACCGCATTTTCAGAAAATATGAAACATACAAAATTTTAATAAATCAGTCAAGGATTTCAGCGGTGACCTTTAATTTGATCTTGGAAATGATTTTCAAGGGCATCTCAAGATCAACTTAGTTTTTTTTTAATCGGAACCCTTACTTTTGACCTTGAATTCTTAAAGAGCACGAAATTTTGAGTCAAAAGTGTTTTAATAATTTTTTTTATTAGAGGCCCAGTTTCCGAGAAAAAAATTCATTAACATTTGCCATTTAACTCGTGAAACCAATGGTTTGCAATTATCTGAAAGACTTCACAATGTGAAATGGCAAATAAGTTGATATTAAATTAATTAAATCTTACCTGCAGGTATAAAATCAAAATGGGTCAATGACTTTTCAGATACTACACTATTCCCTCCGTTAATTTCACTCCGTCCATTCATTGTTCACTCCGTGACTAATAACCACTAAACCAAGTAATGAAAAGTAATGCAAACTACAATTAATGGATATTTTTTTCTTCATTAAGGTATCGACTTCAAGCCACATGATTCAAATGGATATTCAAGTTTCATAGTTTTCGGAAAAAAAAGTTCATTATCATTTGTAATTAAGGAGGCTCCAACGACTACCGCCGGGATCAAAAACACAACAAAAAATAAACTTTCAAACTAACGGCTAAAAAATCTTATAAGCAGTTTCTAAAGCAATATTATTACAAAATAGTACGATTTTCAACTACAGTTGGTAACTTTTTACAACAGAAGTTCCAGAACTTGAGTTTGGTACGACGCACATAACCTATAAAGTAGACAATTTCAGACTTTTTTGGAGAATATCTCAAAATTTTCCACGGCTATCCATATTTTGCAGTACATCATTCGAAAGACCAAGTTTTTATCTATAAGAAGATCAGTTTTTCATTGCGTAACTACACCATTACTTTTAGTTATTGATAAATTTCTAACATTTTTTCACCTTGTACCATAAGATACTATACAAAAAGCGCAAACTTTGAGATGAAATATCTCGAAAATTTCCACGGCTTGAGGGGTAAAGAAGGATACCGTTGGATTCAGTGCATTTTCACTTATCGAAATCACTATAACTAACATCGAAACTTTTTAATACCCCTCCGCGCTGGAGCCTCCTTAAACTCTTGAAACCGATGGCTTGCAATTATCTGAAAGGCTTCACATGTTAAATTTCAAATGTTAATGAATTTTTTTCTCGGAAACTGTGCCCTTAATAAAAAAAATTATAAAGGCACTTTTGACTCAAAATTTCGTGCTCTTTAAGAATTCAAGGTCAAAAGTAAGATGTCCTATTTAAAAAAACCAAGTTGATCTTGAGATGCCCTTGAAAATCATTTACAAGGTCAAATTAAAGGTTACCGCTGAAATCCTTGATTTACTGAGATTTTATATGTTTCATATTTTCTGAAAATGCGTTTTTGAAAAACTAGAAGGGGTGGACGGGTGGTCTGGGACACCTTGTATATATAATATATACATATATATTATTACGTATGAGAAAACTAACGATAACGCTTCAAACCATCGCTTAAAATTGTTGAAGAGAACTTATTGCTAAATATATTTTGAAAACATCGCAAATGTTAGAGATTTCATTCTACTGGAGAGTCGTTTCGATGTGTATGTGTGTGTGAACGCGTTTGTGTTAGTATAGTCTGAGTTGTGAAATGAGGCTCTTTGGAGCTTTTGCGATAAAATTGATTATTTTAAAAATATTCTGGGCTTATAAAAGAAATTTTGGAGTATTCTTGAGTATTCCATTACTTTTTGAACTATATAATATTGAGGTTATGTGCTAAAAACATGGTATAAATGCCAAAAAAATTGGTTTTTTCAAACTTTGAACAAGTTCCGGTCGGAAAATGGTGATTCTAATGCCGGTATTCAAAATAACGGGGAAGAATACATAAAAAAGTAATATTTAGAAGTTAGCCAAGTATATTGTTCATAATTAAAAAATTCATCGAAAAATTCAAAAAAATTTTCTAACTTCATTACCGATCTAAAAAAATCTGAAAAAAATCAAGTTATTTTCGTACAATAGTATACACCATCATAATTTTTTTCTGATTTTTTCGATTAAACAGTGAAGCAAAAAAAATAATTTCCCAAAAAGCACGTTTTTTATCATTATAGGGTCCTATTACCACCTAGGGGCTAAAAATTTGACTGAAGAAGTTTTTAAATATGTCCTTTCGAACGAGCGACTCCAAATAAAAATACAGGCAGGGGCAATTTTAACATCGTTATTCTGCTATAGCCTTCGTCATTCTAGGACTTAATGTATTAAAGTCGCAGTTTCCAAGGCTAGGTGGGTTATCCTGCTTATAGTTTGGTAGGGGTGGTTTTTAGAGGTTAGAGGGTAGGTAGTTAGGTTAGTTGGTTTATGATCTAAAATTCAATTATTTTACGAAAATAAACGAATAAACTCCCTATTATCAGGGCTGGGAGGGATAGTCTGCTTGTGATTTGATAAGGATAGTTTTCACCCCTAAAAATGATTTTTTTTAAATATTGTTTAACGTCGCTCTACTTAGACTCCATCAGTGCTAATCAGCGACGGAGGCTTGTAATTTGTTTGAGAACAAAGCACATGAAACATTTTTCAGTGGTGCTTGTATCAATCAGCAGGGATAGGAATCGAATGCGGGTCTAGCGGGTGCGAATCTGTCGCCCTACCGACTGAACCTTGCAGGCCCCTTTAATTATTCAACTAAAAATGAGTTAGGGCCGATATAAAAAAACATGTGTCTAATATTTTCCAATGTTCTACCACTCTGCCAAGTTTCATTGAAATCGATGAGTGACAGTTGGGTAGGTTTACTTGTAAGTAGTACTATCAGCGCCTAATAGAAAAGAAGATTTTTCATTAATATTTTTTAATCACTACATTTATATAATAATCGATTCGAACTTATTTATCTGAATTTTTCAGGACGGCTATTACATGGTATTATACAAGCTAAACAACTTTTGGCTAGTAAGTTAACAGAAAAAGATTCAGATATTCAGGAAGAACTCACCAAACAAATGGATCAAGTTTGTAAAAATGCAACAAGTATGTATCATTGTAAAATTGTAAAATTTGTTTACATCAATTTGATTTTCATATAACAGGTTGTCTTTTTGTAGAAGTGAAAATAGCTAGCCATACAACGGAGTTCGTCAATAAGATTTTAGAAAAGACAAAAGTTGGAGTATTTGATGGAAGCATTGATGATTTTCAGTAGTTATTGAATTTGACCCATGGTTCTCAAACATCACTGATTAGGATTAGTGGGATTGGTCTTCATATTTTACGTGTTCTGTTATATTAAGATATGGTAGATTACTACATCGTTACCATTTAGTTATTATTAATTTGAGTTAGTTTGTATTATTTTAATTAAGCAAGTATCAATACAAAAAAATTATAATTGATAAAATACTTTAAAATTAGACGACAGAAAATATATTGTAATATCACTTATGTAAAAAACATTAGTTCTCTTGGTCTACCTCAACATAATATTACATAAATGAGTACATTAAGCTAAAAATCTTAATTATCATAGATAAATATTCAGATAGCTGATTGATGTATAAATATTTTTATGCTCATACAAATGCAAATGATCTTATTTTTCTTATTGTAAGTCTCTCCGCATATTTTCACTGAGCTACATAAAATTCTACTAGTGTTGCAATAAATGTAGTATACCTATTCTATTTCTGTAAATATTTTTATTTGTGCTCAATGTTTTTTATGAAATATTTTGACTCCTGCACTATCTTTATATAACAAATTTAATTAAAATTATTTAATAAATAAATCTTATTTTTTCGTTACTGTTTACATAACCATCCTAAATATTTATTGTAAGACATGCATAATTTTTTTCTGTTAAGTAAAGTACTTTTGTGTTACCAACTAAAATACGAGGTCTGTTCAAAATAATAACGAATTTTTAATTTTCGCGGGCTATGTAAAATTGATTTTTTTTTGTAGCGTTATGTTGGTACTCACGTTTGTTACTTATGCTGACAAGGTCGGCTATTTTGAATTATTAGCTAATTTTTGACAGCTGTTTTGCTTGGATGTATTCTGACTCGTCTTCGATTTTTGCCTATTCTAAAAAATGAACCAAAAGAATCTGTATCAAATTTTGTGTGAAAAACAAAATAAAGTGCGCGGATGCATTCCGAATGTTGACTGTGGCATATGGTGAAGCTACCTTGGACCAAAGGAACGTTTATCGCTGGTACAAAATGTTCTTAGAAGGCCGAGAAGATGTGAACGATGAACAACGTGCCGGACGCCCGAGCACGTTAATAACAGACAAAAACATTGATAAAGTGAAAAAAATAGTATTGGCCAATCGTCGAATCACCGTTAGAGAAGTTTCTGAGGATCTAAATATATCGATTGGTTCATGCCATTCGATTTTAACCAATGATTTGAGCATAAGTCAGGTCGCCGCGAAATTCGTACTAAAACTGCTCAATTTCGACCAAAAATAGCATCGTGTTAATATTGCTCAGGAGATGTTGGACTTAGTCCGTGACGACCCAAATGTGCTTCAGAGGATCATAACTGGTGATGAATTATGATTAGGGTTTAAGGTTATGATGTGGAAACCAAAGTTCAATCATCCCAATGGAAGCTGCCGCATGAGCCAAGACCGAAAAAAGCGCGCCAAGTTCGGTCGAAAGTGAAGATATTGCTCACAGTTTTCTTCGATTACAGGGGCGTGGTGTATCATAAGTTCTTGCCAGAGGGTAGTAAGGTCAATAAGGAATATTATCTGCAAGTTATGCGCGATTTTCGCGAAGTAGTCCGCCAGAAACGTCTGGATTTATGGAAGAACAAAAACTGGCCTTTACACCATGATAACGCCCCTGCTCATACATCGTTACTTGTGAGCGAATATTTGGCCAAAAACAACACAGTAATGGTGCCGCAGCCATCGTATTCCCCAGACCTGGCCTCCTGTGACTTTTTCCTGTTCCCAAAACTGAAGAGGCTTATTCGAAAGGACGACGCTACGCCACGATTGAGGAGATAAAGATGGCATCGAAGAAGGAGCTGAACAAGATCACAAAAAATTATTTTTTTAAGTACTTCGAGGATTGGAAATAACGGTGGCATAAGTGCATCATATCCGAGGGGGATTACTTTGAAGGAGATAAAATAGATATTCATGAATAAATAAATAATTTTTGAAAATATACAAAATTCGCGATACTTTTTGAACAGACCTGGTAGACACTTGTAGAAAATCAATACATATAGAGGTCAATTAAAAATCTGACTAATAGACAATGCAGTTCTATTAGGTAGTGATAGCATGTCACCACATAATTAATTAACAGTTATAGTACTAGAGATTAGTAGGGAAATTATTGACGGCAATGATTCCGAGCGTGCCCAACCAAAGTTCCTGATTCGAGCGCCGTGTGTTGGCCAGAACACAGAAGCTGACGCACAATTCTATTCGGGCCGGGAGAAAAATACCAAATATGCGTCTGTTATATAAAGAAGGAGATGCAAACGTGCGCCTGACCATTCACATTAGCCGATGGGTGGGGCGAAGTAGTAATTCGAGTATGAGCACTCATTAAGAATTTTGTATCCGTAAAGCTTTTCTCTTCGACCAGAATAAAGGCTTCGATTCCCACTCGATGCAATTTTTTTTATTATGAATAATGAAATTTCTTAAATTATTTGAAATATTACAGCAAATACTTACAACTTAAACTCCTTATTTAATATCAAATTTTCGTACATTCTTATGAACATGTGTAGTTTTCGTACTACATATTTCCAGTGCATTAATAACCGAGATGGCTAACACATGCTGTTTGATTTCATTTTTGTCATTTGTAATGGTGCCGGTGGATTTAACCTGCACCGTGTGTCCCCTATCTCTCCCTACCATCGGCGTGGACTCATGGCAGACCTATAGCACATAATTCACGTGCCTGATGCCTGCCTGTATGTTTTCAGCATCGCCACCGCAACGAGCAAGAAGAAGAAGGATAGAGAGAGGCAGTGGCATTGGTCGACAAGAGCGCCTGTTACTATGCGCTCTTGTAGGAGAGAAAGAAAGAGAGTGAGAGAAAGAAAGAACGCGATTAGTGTAGGCAGGCGCGTGACACTAGCTGCACTTGACGGTGCCGCGTGCCGCCGATTAGGCAAGAGAGTGGGGAGAGCGTGAGAAGCAGTCTCTCACGCACTCGGAAGCGTACTCGCGGTGGGCAGTAGAAAGTGGCCATTAGCAGAGAGAGGTGTGCTGACCCCCTGCAGTCAACCGCAAAGAAAAGATTAGAGGAAACCGAGACGACATCAGTATCGGCTACGGATCTAGCCTATCTTCCGCCGAGTTCTTCCGACCACGGATAGATTTGCCTGCAATCAGACGCCATCACCATCTTCGGCGAGGCCCTGCATCAAAGATCTTCAATCGTCAGGTCAATTTCTAATCTCTCTCTCTCTAATTCTCACTCTAAGGCTACTCACGGCTTGTGCGCTATGCCAGGCTCTCACGGGCCGGCGCGGCTAGTTCGGTTATTAGCATAAGTTGAATTGTATCGAGTCGGTATCGAGATGGCAAGGCGCTAACGTGCCGGCCATCTCTTTCAGCGATCGTAGATTGTAGTGTAGATAAATAAGACGCGCGTTTGAATGTCCGAACTGTATGCTCAGGGTAGCATGGTGTAATAAAGGGATTTATTAAGATAAGAGGAATGATTATTGCGTCCACCTTTCTCTTTACCTTGTCAGGAGCGATATACCGCCTCCCTTGCCTTCCCCCTTCTAAATAATTGGTAATAGCGATAGGTGCATCGGCATTGTAAGCCGACTCTATTACATGGCATCCCTTGTGGGGAGAAGGGCAAGGTAAATGAGAAAGAGTGATTTAGAGAGTGCGTGTAAAATTTAGCTACGTGTGTGCAGTGCGAAAGTGTTCGCGTTCCTTGTGAACAAGGGTAAAGTGCGTAGAACAACGCTTCTTTGTTCAGAGGTGTCGGGTCGCGGCGTGGCGGGTCGTTCGGGCAGTGGCGTGTTCTTGTTGTGGAATTTGGCTTGTTGAGGTGTTCAGTTACACCGTATGACGCATTCCTTTATGTTCTTGTGCGAGGCGATAACTTGCCAGCACATGATCCAAGGAAGGCGCGGCTAGTCCAATCCACTGTGTTTATCAGCATTTTTAGTTTTTTTTTTCTTTTTTTTGTATGTTATCGAATTCTTAGCGTGTCAGTTACCGCGTTCCGTGCGTTTCTTTGATTGTTTGTTGCCATTGCATCTACGCCGTTGAAAGGAGAAGAATAATAAAATAATTTTTTTTTCTTTTGACAACATGCCGCTCGCGTGCAAAGATCGGCTTGCGATGCGCAAGTTGCTTCGCGATGTCCGCGTTAAAGAAGTCAAGCGCCGCATCGATTCGACGGAGCCGGTTGCCCTACTTGAGTTAATGCGTTACCGTGGGTTAGCGTTACACGGCGACATGGACGAACTTAGGGAGAGGTACTTGCGCTTCACGATCGCGTCGGAGAGGCCAGAGCTTGGGTCGCCTTTACAGCCGGGCGATTTTGCGTCGGGCCGCCTGCCTGATATAACGCGCGACGAGTCGTTGCATAGGGTAATTAATAGCGACGAGAGCTAGAATAGGACGGTCGAATCGGCTAGGATTGCGCCGCCAAAGGCGGCAGAATGGCATTCACTAGGACAGGCGACGCGATCACCTGACCGCGTTGCCGTTCTGCCTGAGCCAATTCGGTCGCCGGGGGAAAGGGCTATCACTCCCATCCCAGAGGAGGAAATTTTACCCGCTACCGCTACCGCCAGTGCGATAACACCAGAGGTAGGCGTACGCGCTGCGGCTGCGCCCGAGTTAGAAAGACGCAGCAACGGTACTTTTAGTCAGGTTTGGGACGCGATAACAGCAGTCCCACGATGGATTTACCGGCGGGAGGTGCAGCAAGGTATCACTGACGGTACTAAGGCATTATATAGGGTAGAGAGAGAAGCTGTGCAAGGAGGAGTGGATCAGGCCTTGCAACAGGCTCAACGGCCGTTGCAGGCTGATCCGTCGGCCGGCCGCGCGGCGCTGAACGTGCCAGCGGCCGCCGGCCCCGTCTATCAGATTCACCCAGGCGTTCCGCCGCGTGGAGAAAGGCCGGTGAATCAGATATTATTCCCAAACAGCTCTCTCGAAACTATTTATAGATCGCCCCCGCAACCTGTCACAGAGACCTGGGTTCGTGAATGGGAAAGGGCTGTACGCGCACCCTGTAGTGAATACGCGCGCGCATCAGGTTTAGACAAAGTAGGCTCGGGCTCGGAGTCTAGAGCTTCCACGAGAGTGTCGAAGAGCAGGCCGGTCAAGGCGAAAACAAAAATTTTGCCGGACCATGGCAGCACGGTTGACCTCTCGAGCTCCTCTGAGTCAGAGATCGGGGATCGCAAGGAAAGCGTGTCGCAGCATAGCGACAGGCCGATTAAAACTAAAACAAGAGAAAAAAGCCCGAAACGCGTTAAGTACATAAATGGCGTGCCGGCCGATGGCGTTAGTGCGTTGACAGCATGGTCGCTTCGTTTCTCGGGCGATGATGACATGAACGCGATGAATTATTTATCAGGGTTAGAAGACTGCCAGCGTTATTATAGTATTTCGGACGAAGAAATGCTAAATGCTATTGGCACTACCTTCCGGGGCAAGGCGCGTTCATGGTACGAACTTAACCGTAATCAGTGGGCAAATTTCTTAGAATTCAGAAA